AGAGAGCTCAGATGGCTTGGCAGCATTAAATGCAAAATTGGATGCATTAGGAAGAGACATGAAAAAGGTCAATCAGACAATTCATGCTATCCAAGTCGGCTGTGACAACTGTAGTGGACCACATCTTGAAAGAGATTGTCCATTAGATCAAGATGGGAATCAAAAGGTTGATGTATGCTACTCATCTGGAGATAGATACGATGAAAGGAAGCCTCGGAACAACTGGAACCATTCGATGAATACAAGAAGGAAATGGAGATGCAAGGGAAATGGAGACAAGCGGTCAAGGTTTCTACCAAAAAAAACCCATTGGAGCAAATTGTGCAGAAAAGAAGCCAACTTTCGAAGAAATGATGGCCAGATTTGCAGAAGCATCTGATAAAAGACATCGAGATACACAAGAGTTGGTGAAAAGAATCGGATCAACAACTGAAACTGCTCTAAGAAATCAGCAAGCTTCGATGTTGAACATCGAAAACCAAGTCGGGCAAATTTCGAGAGTACTACAAGAGCGATTTCCTGGAACATTACCAAGTAACACTGAGACAAATCCGACTGCTCATGTCAAAGCAATAACAACTCGAACTGAAAAAAATCTTGAGCCGTTAGTTCCACAGTTCATACTAACGAACCTTCTACTATTTCACACAATCCCAAGAGAAGGAAAAAGAACCAGTTCCGGTTGAGACAACTACATCCACTCCATTGTCAAACCATATAGGCCACCAATTCCTTTCCCCTCAACGCTTGAGGAAGGAAAAAGAGGAGGAGGACTATCGCAAATTCATCGATCATATCAAATCCTTGCATATCAACATCCCATTCATTGAAGCTATGGCTCAAATGCCCAAATATGCAAAATTTCTGAAAGATTTGCTTGTTAACCGAAAGAAAATGGAGGAAGCTTCAAGTGTAGTATTAAACGAACAATGTTCAGCAGCCATGTTGAACAAACTTCCTCAGAAAATGAGAGATCCAGGAAGTCTGACTTTACCGTGCCAATTTGGTAATTTGGGTCTCAGCCATGCTCTGGCTGATTCAGGAGCAAGTATAAATCTTATGCCATATTCGTTTTACAAGAAACTTGATTTACCTGAACCAAAACCAATTCGAATGGCAATCCATCTGGCAAACAAATCAGTGACGTATCCAAAGGGATAGTGGAGGACTTACTGGTGAAGTTGACAAGTTCGTATTTCCTGCAGATTTTGTAGTGCTTGATATGGAAGAAGACAATGAAGTTCCTATTATTTTGGGAAGACCATTCTTAAGCACTGCAAGAGCATTAGTTGACATTCATGGATCAAAGTTGACACAGAGTCGGAACTGATGCTATCACCTTCGGTCTTGATAGAGCAATGAAGCACTCCAAGGTGAGTGATGATGAAGTTTTCTTTGCTGATGTTTTTGATAACTTATTGGAAAATGAGATATTGGAAGTAAAAGATAAAGACATTGAAAGCATGATGCAACTTGGAGAAGATACGTTTGATGCTGAAAAGATCTGGAAGAACTGGAAAAGCTGCTGGAGGAGATTAATCAAAAAGAAGACTACATACACGGATAGTAAATCAGAAAGAGGAAGCACACCACAAAGAAACACCTTTGACTCCGATGTCAAAAGTGAGTTGAAAGTTTTACCTGATCATTTGGAGTACGCATACCTAGGAAATAATGAGCAATTCCCTGTGATCATCGCTGCAAATCTCTCACCGCATGAAAAAGAGAGGTTGATTGAAGTTTTGAAAAAGAGAAAGCAAGCTATAGCATGGAATATTTCTGATATCAAAGGAATAAATCCATCCTATTGTTCTCACAAAATTTTGATGGAAGAAGGATCAAAACCAGCAGTCCAACCACAAAGGCGATGAACCCGAAAAATGCAAGAAGTTGTGAGAAAAGAGATCGTAAAACTCTTAGATTCGGGAATGATCTACCCTATTTCAGACAGTCCATGGGTAAGCCCCATTCACATTGTCCCAAAGAAGGGAGGATGACCATCATAATCAATGAAAAGAATGAGCTGATACCAACAAGAACAGTTACAGGGTGGTGAGTGTGCATCGATTATCGAAAGTTAAATGATTGGTCCCGCAAAGACCATTTCCCCCTTCCTTTTATCGATCAGATGCTAGAACGTCTTTCTGGAAATGCTTACTATTGTTTCCTAGATGGTTTCTCAGGATACTTTCAAATTCCTATCGTTCCTGAAGATCAAGAAAGAAAACATTCACTTGCCCATACGGAAGTTTTGCATACAGACGAATGCCATTCGAACTTTGCAATGCTCCTGCAACCTTCCAAAGATGCATGACAGCCATTTTCCACGACATGGTGGAAAACTTCATGGAAGTGTTTATGAATGATTTTTCAGTGTTTGGAGATTCCTTTGATGCATGTTTAGCTAATCTAGACAAAATGCTTGCTAGATGCGAAGAATCAAATCTGGTTTTGAACTGGGAGAAATGTCATTTCATGGTGCAAGAAGCCATTGTACTAGGGCATAAAATCTCCAAGGAGGGGATTGAGGTGGACAAAGCAAAAATAGAGACAATATCAAAATTGCCACCTCCAACCAACGTCAAAGGGGTCAGAAGTTTTCTAGGTCATGCAAGATTTTACAGAAGGTTCATAAAAGATTTTTCAAAATCACGCGCCCTTTGACTCAACTTCTGTTAAAGGAAGCAAAGTTTAATTTTTCTTCAGATTGTTTAAATGCTTTCAACAATTTAAAAAGAAAATTAACAACAGCCCCGATAATGGTCGCTCCAAATTGGAATTTGCCATTTGAATTAATGTGTGATGCTAGTGATTTGCAGTGGGAGCAGTTATGGGACAAAGAATTGAGAAACATTTTCAGCCAATCTACTATGCCAGCAAGACGTTAAACCCCCGCTCAAGCAAATTACACCACAACTGAAAAAGAATTGCTTGCTGTGGTTTATGCTTTTGAGAAATTTCGCTCTTACTTGATCTTGTCAAAAACTATTGTCTTTACTGATCATGCTGCCTTGAAGTATTTATTCAGGAAAGAAGACTCTAAGCAACGATTAATTCGTTGGATCATGTTACTCCAAGAATTTGACATCGAGATTAAAGACAAGAAAGGCATGGAAAATGTGGCTGCTGATCATTTGTCCAGATTAGAGAATCCCAACATCGAAGAACTCAAGGAGTCTGAAATAAATGACAAATTTCCAGATGAATCCTTGATGATGATAGGTGAAGAGGTACCTTGGTATGCAGACATTGTAAACTACTTGGCTGCAGGATTTCTTTTTAAAGGAATGACACATCAACAGAAGAAGAAATTTTTTTCGGACCTCAGGCACTATTATTGGGATGACCCTTACTTATTCCGAAGTTGCGCGGATAATGTAGTAAGGAGATGCGTATTCGGAAAAGAAAGTCGTGAGATCATGAAAGGATGTCACGCTGGACCGACTGGGGGGCATCATGGTGCTAATTACACAGCAAGAAAAATCTTTGATGCTGGATTTTACTGGCCTACGATTTTCAAAGATGCTCACATCTTCGTGAAAGAATGTGATGCATGTCAAAGGGCCGGTAACATCTCTTCCCGAAATGAGATGCCCCAAAACAGCGTCCAAGTATGTGAAATTTTTGACATTTGGGGAATCGATTTTATGGGACCATTTCCTTCCTCACGAGGAAACAAATATATTTTGGTAGCTGTTGACTACGTATCAAAATGGGCTGAAGCGAAAGCTTTACCTACTAACGATGCTCGTGTAGTAGTCAAGTTTTTAAAGAATCTGTTTTCACGTTTTGGTTTCCCTAAAGCTCTGATCAGTGACAGGGGTACACACTTCTGCAATACCCAACTGGAAAAGGTTTTGCAAAAATATGGTGTTCACCATAGAATCGCAACGGCCTATCATCCACAAACCAGTGGGCAAACTGAAGTCACAAATCGAGCTTTAAAAAGAATTCTGGAACGATCAGTGGGAAGTAACAAGAAGGAATGGGCAGATAAACTTAATGATGCGTTGTGGGCATTTCGAATTGCATACAAAACACCTATTGGTAGAACACCATATAGGATGGTCTTTGGAAAAGCATGTCATTTGCCAGTCGAAATCGAACATAAAGCATTTTGGGCATTGAAATCATGCAACTTTGATCCTGTGGAAATTAAAACTAACCGTCTTATGCAGATGAATGCTCTGGAAGAATTAAGGGATGAAGCTTATGGAAACTCTCAAATCTACAAAGAGAAATCAAAGAAATGGCATGATAAAAGATTAAGCAGAGACAAAAATTTACCCCTGGAGAAAAAGTATTGCTATTCAATTCCAGGTTGAAACTTTTTCCAGGTAAACTGAAGACGCGTTGGTACGGTCCATTCACAATAAAAGAAGTCTTTTCACATGGTGCAATCGAACTAATTGGAAAAGATGGAGAAAGCTTTAAGGTAAATGGACATCGAGTGAAGCATTACCAGGAAGGAATGTTAGAAAAAGAAGAGAAAGAGGATATACCCCTCCAACTCACTGAAAACAATTAAGTGAGGGGTAGAGTCTGGCTCATGACTCAGTTAAAAAGAAGCGCTTGCGGGAGGCAACCCGATGTTTGTTTTGATTTTTAAATTTGGTGTGTTTATTTTCTGTATGTTTGGTGTGAATTTTCTTTTTAGTTTGTGTTTTTGTTTTCAATAAAAGTGCTTTTTAATGGTTTTATTTTTCTGTGAAAGTTACTTTTCAGCTTAGAAACAGGTGATGGTCAGAATGGTGTAAAGTAAATTTCTGAAATGCAAATTACAATAGGAGAAGTGGCATCACATAAGTGTGGGGTGATTCCCCACAAAGAACAGGATGAAGAACTGAAGCTGATACTGACCAACGGGAGAGTTTTATTCGAAGGATAAAGCAAGTGTTCGGCCGACACAAGTCAAATCAAATTCACTCAGCGAAAAGGAGTAATTGATCTAATAACGCAATGTGTACTTGGCCAGTATACAAAGCATTAAATTCCAGAATCGCGTAGAGAATACCAATAATTGCATTACGCGACGTGTCCAAATCTTATACGCGACACGTAAATGCACCTGTTCAGAGAAATTGTGCGGAAAAAAGATTCAGATGCCACACTTGCCTAAATCTCCAGCTGGTTCAAAAAGAAAAGATTTACATGCACTTCAACATCACAAACAGAAAAGTGCACTCAACACTTGTCCCACGAAAATCAGGATTTCTACCTCGCCACTACAATACCCCAGGGGAGTCTGTTCCTTTTTCTCCCTTTTTACTTTTATGTTCTTTAATTTTGCATACAATGGGGACATTGTATGATTTAAGTGTGGGGTAGGGGGGTCGAATAAGGAAACCAAGCATTTTTGATAAAAAAAAAAAAAATTTTGAAAATTTTAAAATTTTTGCTAGATTCACATTTATTGAATAATGGTTTAATTCAGAAATCTAGTAAAAATTAAAAAAGTTTTATTGTGTTGAAACTTAAATTGCAAACGTTGTGTAGGATGATCCAATGCGAACTCAAATGTTTAATTGAACCAATAGTATGTTATAGTACATTTGTGGCTTCCCTATCCTAGTGAAATCATGGAACAAAAACACAACCTTGCTTAGTTTGAGGGTCATAATATGTTTAGCATCGTGTACCAGAAATATATCCAGGAGAGCTTATGTAGTCATTGCACTCTAGACTAATATCTCTAACCAATAAGAGTTGAAGTTAAGTTCCCTTGCTTAAGCATATGTTTTTATTTTTTAGGATTGCTAGTAAAAAAAAAAATTACAAAGTTTGAGAATAAGAGTCTACAAAGCTATGAAGATCAAGAAATATCATGAAGAAAAGTTCCAAAAATCAAAGAAGACTCAAGAATAAAGGCAATTTGTCAAGTTATTAGTTATTGTAGTTTTTATTTCTAGGTTATTTTTCCATATGTATGCTTGGGGACTTAGTCAAAAATTACATTGAGGTTAAGAAAGATTTCTGAGGATATATTCGGAGGGATACATAAAATGAATGTTGTTCAAAAGAAGTGGGCAAGTGTTTTTGAAGATTGTGAGTATTTAGGATTGGGGAAGTTTTAGAAATCATTAGACACAAATGTGTGCATTGAGGTTTCGATGTAATGGTTGGGTTCAAGTCGGATTGTCTTGTGCGATGTTGGTAATGAAGGTTTTGATATGATGACATGCTTAAATCAGTTTTGCTTGAGGACAAGCAAAGTTCAAGTGTGGGGTATTTTGATATCACAATAATTATACATACATTTCGAGCGATATTTATGTATTTTTAGCTATATTTTGGTATGATTTAAGATAAAAGGTACTTATAAAGTTTGAAATTCCATTTTACAGCTAAAAAATCATTTCTGAAGAAAAAGGAGAAGAAAATGTGCAAAAATCCGCAAAAAGAAGTGAAAGAAAGTACACGAAGAAAAACGAGATCAAAAAGTCAAAGAATTCAAAGATAGCCACGTTGGAAAGACGAGAAAACAAAATAAAAATATAAAAAGAATTTAAATTAATTAATGAGGTTTAATTAAAATAAATTATTGGGAATTAATTATTTAATTTATAAATAATTTATATTAATTAAATTAATTTAATTAATTTAAATTGCAAAAGAAAAAAAGAAAAATAGAAAAGAAACAAAAATTGAGCCCAAACTCGGAACTAGCCCAAAAACAGGCCTGATCCAAAATCGCGACCCAGATCCGGGACCCGATATCCGAAGCGCTCCCGCCCCGCATCCACTTCCCCTCACAGACTAACCCAATATTTCCGATCCGTACCCGATCCGACCCGGGTTTAGGGACTACACCGGGTTTGTTTTATCGACATGTTTAACATTCTTAATATGTTTTCTATGTATGTTGTAACCTTAATTATGAGCTAAATTCTCTTTGCTTTCACTTGGATAATGAAACCTTGAAAATATGATTTGATTTATATTATTCGGATATTAATTGTTATTTATTTTATCATGCATATTTGATCATTTATTTGTATATGTTAAGTTTTTGTAATTAATTTTCCCATAACTAAGTTAATATTTTTAAAAGATCACTTTAATTATATTATCTTGAATCATAAATTTTTCATAACCATTGATATTTATGACTAGTAAAGGACAATATTCTAGGAATTGGGCAAAATAAAATACTAAAAATTTAACATGTATATTTTATATCGTACGACCAACTTACGATTCCTATTTGTTTTACTACCACTAAAATGAATAGTTTGATCAAATGTTTGCATGATACAATGAATAGTTTGATCAAATGTTTGCATGATACGAATTAATTATTGTTAATAAAATTGTTAATTGCATGACAATTGTTTTTAATTAATTTTATTATCAAAACGGTAAAAAATTTAGATCATGATTTTTAACCAATTTTAGAAATCGGTAAATAACTAATAATATCCATTGCACTTAATATAAATCATTCATTACTAAAAGGTGGAATTTAATCTAAGTGAAAGCATCCTTATCATTCTTGATTCTTAAAAACCAATTCTTGTTCTATATTTATTCTACACTTTAATTGTTAAAATTCTCATTATTGTCTTGTTACTAGAAATTCCCCCAAGTTACTTATCTTTTAAGTTAATTAGCGACAAATAGTCTAATATTAAATCATACTCGTTTCCCCAAGTGTTCGACATCCGTTCTTACCATTGCTATATTACAAATTCAATTAGGTACACTTGCCTAAGTCGATAGTAAATTCTAGTATCGGTAATTTCAACCTTATAAATTTAAGACTAGATAAATTTCACATCAGTTGCTGAAGTTGTTTCAGATACGTGGGGATTGCTAAGATAGTCCATTAAAAAAAACCTAATTAATGGTAAAAAGTACACATACTTCATTTTTATATAAAAAAACTAAAGTGCATTGTTGTATTTGGTAAAAAAAAAAATTGTAGTAGCAAAAAAAAATAGTTTATGGGTTGTGTGAACTTCTTACTACGACACAAATATGAACCTAGAAAACAAAGTCAAAGCCAAAACGATGCCAAAAAAACTTTTAACCGACCAGGGGCATACTGGTCAATAAACGGTTTGCACTACCATATAATTATTATTTTTTTGCTACGAAGGTTCATTTCTAATTTCATCAGTTTACTTAAAAATACTTGTTACCTGCCGAAATAGTTGCAACTCAAACCTTCATCTGAAATAACTGCAAAAAGAAGGCAAATAATGTATAAAAATAAAAACCGTCATGCATACAAATTATTCATATTTTCCATATTTTCCTTAACATCAAAAACAAAAAAAAGAAAAAAAATGCAATATTTAGAAATGATACAACTCCAGGATAACAACTTCAATATTAAAAATAAAAATAAAAAAAAAAAAAAAAAAAAAAAAAACGGAAAATTTCATGTTTTACCTGAAAGGTCAAACATTTGATCAGCATCATTGATGACTTTGATAGCAACACTACCCCCATTTTGTACTGTAACTATTCTATTGAACATCATCAACAGGATTATGTTGATTTGCAAGTTCAAAAATCAGAATCTTCAAATACAGTTGCTCACTCTTTTTTGTACAACTCTTATGTTGTTTTATAAGTACATAATGTTCTTTTGGTCGCAAATTTTGTTACGGATATGTTGATTTTGTTGATTGCTCTACTATCTAAATGTGGCACAAATAAATCATTGATGAAGGAAATCAAACATAAAGACATGGAAACGGATCAAAACTGCTACGCTCTAATAGAAAGTTTTGAATAGTGATGATATAATCCATAATCTATAAAAAAAAAACAAAATGAAATGTCAAAAAGCATAAAATTTGTTAAAAACAGATATTGTCTGTCAAAAATTTAAAAGAGCTCCTTTGTAGGAAATATCAAAATTGGGTTCCGTTTTGTAAGAATTTTCAAAATTAGGTGCCATTTCGTAAGAAATATTTTAAATTATAAAAATTTAACAAAACATCTATTTTTACCCATATACATATAACTTAATTTTTTTACCAAGTTTAGTCTGAAGTGAAATCAAAAATATGTAAATATTTTCACATTTTCTGTTTTTGCCATTTCGTAAGAAATATTTTAAATTATAAAAATTTACCAAAACATATATTTTTACCCATGTACATATAACTTAATTTTTTTACCAAGTTTAGTCTGAAGTGAAATCAAAAATATGTAAATATTTTTTCACATTTTCTGTTTTTCCTGAGGTAATATTAGTTCTTGAAGATCATTAACCTCCACCTGGTTCATGATTAAAAAAGGTGTTTAGTTGGATGGAATTGAATGGACACCATAATGAATAGCCTGTTCCATTATATTAGCGAAACAAACATTTTTTGGCATTCCGATGGAATGGATGATTCCATTCCATCATACCAAACACTTTAAATGTAAACAGTGGAATTACCTCCAATTGGTTACCACCGTAAGTGTAGTTGATGTGCAGTTTTTTCATTTCAACGAAATGCAGATCACAAAAAGCCATGATTCCTGATTTCTTTACTGAAAGCCTCTCTATTGATCAGTCAAAACTGAAAGGTTGCTACATTGTTAAAGGTAGACGCTTTGTTCCAAGGAATGGAGGTAAGGTACCAGTGAATGCATTCTGATCAATTTTTCTGCAGAGGTGAAAGACATTATGAAGATTAATTTGGATTAATAATTTTGATAGAAAAAAAATGAAACGGTTGAAAGGAATGCATACAATACAGGAGGATAAGTTAGAGCAGGGTGTTGCTATCGGCACCTAATTATATGTTCAAAACCATTGGCTCAAAACCACCATTTGATTAAAACCCAAATTGAAATGACAGCCTATTCAAATATATTATATTAATCTATTAAAAACAATGAATTCATACCTGATGATTGAAGACCTGAGCAGCAAAAGCTAACAACAATGAACGAAATATAGAAGTGTGACTTTTAGGGGGTCAATTCCAGATACGTACCGAGAGAAAGGCAGAATCGATCTCCCTTCTCTGTCTTCCTCAGAGATATTTGTTTTCTTTCCATTCACAGTTTAGCCCTAGAAAAGACACACAAATGACATGAGAAGAGAAATCATCACTGGATTTTTGAAGAAATCGAGTTTGGAAGACAGATAGATAGAATCAGAAACAATGAAATGATAGGGGTTTTGGGTGCTCTATGGTGGCTAATGCTACGTTGTCCTTCTGGTTTTAGATTGTTGGTTCTTATATCCCCCTTTCTTGAACACCTATAAAGCACAAATCATAAAAATGTAATTACTCAAATACGGTAGGCATAGGAAACAAAACTAAATAAAATTATGAGGTAATTAGGGTTTTTAGAGAGACGTATCATAACAATTTTGTGATGTTCCAATCGATAAAAGGGAGACTACTGGAACCCAATATCGATGTATGAACGCAAAAGGAACAGAAATTGGTTTCGGACCACCGATTAAAAATTTAGGACCACATTAATTCAGTCACAGAAGGAGATTCAGCTGTAGAAGTCGAAATACACATCAGGCTTTTGGTCATAATCAACATGATTACCCGAAGACGTATCCCTCCATTTTGAAGCTGAAATTAAAAAAAAAAAAAAAAAAAAAAAAAAAAAAAAAAAAAAAGTGGACCCTTTATAAAACTCATCAAGAATATCTATAAAATAATATGAACCTTAAAATAAGTAATAGAAATATATACCTAAACCAATTTCTGTCGGGGATTGGAGATGTGAGATTATTGGAGAAGCCACTGTTATCTGTCAAAACAACGAAAATTACAACAATTTAATTTGTAAGCAAGTTGAACCACAGATTTGAGGGGAAAAAATTATGTTGCCCATATTGGTAAAAAGAGTAAAATACATTGCTATTTATTGTATTCCGACTTATATTTTTTACCTGAATCATACGTTACACATACCATCAAGCTTCCCTCGAAAAAACTGGAGCCATAATCTCTACAAATCTGGAAAAGAAAAAGAAAAGAGAAAGACGGAAAATCATAATACCAAAAAATAAGAATAATACATGTAGATAAAAAGGAATTTGAAAACTATTTAAGAATATTACCTAAACATTGAAAAGCATTTTTGCAAAAACCATATTAGGAAGAGGATAACAAAAACTAAAAACTGTAATGATCATCTGATGCAAGTGAGGGAAGTAGAAATGATAAAGAATAGTTTCACTTAGAAGTCAATAGAAATCTATTAAAATGATAACACTATTCACAAATCAAGTGCAACTGTATGAAAATGGATCTAATAATCTAATAGTAAGTATATTATATTTGCTTATAAGGATATTTACCAAATATGAAAGAACTTTGATATTGAAAAGATAGCCCTCTGACATGTTTTGCACATATAAGTGAAAACTTCTATCCTGAGAAAAAATTTAATATAAAAACCATTAATTTAATTTTTTTTTTTGTAATTAAGCAACTTGATAAGTTGTAATCATCTTATTGTAATTGATAATTTTCAACCCATTTGGCATAAAACACTCAACTCATTAAAGAAATAATATAATTCTTCCTAACTATCAAAAATCATTTTTGAAAACAAAAAAGGTCAGAACTACAGATCAACCCCTTGGAAGTAGTAAATAATCAACTCTGCTTAAAACAGTAAAACTATCAGTTTGTACTTTTTGTAGGCTCTGTACTTATTCTGATACATTATGTAATCTGTCATCAAGTAATTTGAGAAAACAATTATTCAGAATAATAATAGTAAAGTGGACAAAATGGTTTTATGATAACAGAATATTCAAGGGTTTATGTGGGATGAAGCTAAAGTGAATACAAAGTTAAAGATGTGTAAAACTCACAATTGTGATTTACGTATGGGAGCTTTTATATTGGGACTCAATTGTATTGCAAGAGAATCAAAAGTAAGGGTATTCTGGTCAAAGTACTTGATCTGCCTTTCCATAATACCAATTTATCAATGGAGACTGCAAGAAAAAACACACATGGTTAACAAATATCATTCGGTCATGACAAAGATAGGTTGGTGACGATCTAAATCAAAGGGCAAACATGTCATTTTGCATTACAGGTCAAAATCAATAACATATTGTTTCTTTTCAACTTAATAAACTTCATTGGACGACATGTAAAGTTGACAAAACCATAAGGACGATGAATGTAAATCTGTAATCTAGCCTAAGATAATCTAAACCCCTCAACAATGATAGAATTAGTAGATAAGAATAAGATGAAGTTGTTTAACATGCCAATCATATTTAAGAAACTAAAAATATTGTATAAATTTATATAATGATCAACTGAAAATATATAGAAAACACACAGCTCATTGCAGAATGTGTGCTAATAATGTAAGCAATAGAAAATATTTCAAGTTTCAGAGTATAGAAAACAGATAGTATTTACTAATATCACCCACCTGAACAGATTTGTAAGCTAACAAAGTGCTTGTAGCAACTTCTTTCCTATCACAAACTCACCTATACACACAGACCAGGCGTTAATATGAAAATAAAACATAAAAATTTTCAATGAGAAAAGAACTTATACCTCAGCACGATTCTCCAATTTCTAGAAAGTGAGGGGCAGAAAGTAAGTAGTTTTAATAGCTACAATGGATAGGTCGTTCCTATGCCAACAGGTGCACCGGTATTGGAAGCTGAATCGAGGATGGTCATAGTAGAGAGCAGGAGGCGACGTCCGACATGGGAGAAGAGGAGGCATGGAGGGATGCGAGAGACCAACAATATTCGACAGAGGTAACTAAATCTGGCGAAGCCGCCCTTCACCATGGAAGCACCTCTATCACTTTGCCCTAGACATCCATCGGAAGTCGGACATCGACCCTAAGCGAATGGCATAACGATCAGTGATAGAAGGGACGCGATGGAGGTAGATAAGGGAAACGGATCGGGTTAAGGGGAACCAGCGAAGAAGGCGAGCGGTGGAGAAGATGGAGTACACATCGAGAGTGGAAAATGGTGGCAGATTTGGGGATATGGGGTGAAGGAAACCGCAGGAGGTGGAGTGCTTATCTAAAGAACCCAGAAGCATCGAATGGAGTCGGTGTGAGGCGGTGGGCAAATAACACAAAACGTAAATATGAAAATGTCAAAATATGACCCTAAAATAATAATAAAAAAAAACAATTGCTACAGCAAATGCAACTACAGGGATACAAGACCATTGTTGCCAAAAATACGTTAAAATTTTTCACAATCTTAATATATATATATAATATATATATATATATATATATATATATATATATATATATATATATATATAATAATTAGTATTTTTTTAAGTTCTAGAAAATAAACAAAGAAAACCTTGACTAGTCAATCCAATCCAGCTTGACTCGCAACGAAAATTTAACTGTTTTGACTGAAAGCCATTCACCATGTTGTTCGATTGTGTGTGTATGATGTCGACTACAATGTTCCCAAATTGTCAAATTTGAACATAAAACTACATCTATAAATTATCTATATTTTGACTAGTGGTAGGGGTGAGTGCGGTGCGGTTCGGTGCATTTATTGGCCAAAACCTCACTACTAACCGCAAATACGGTTAATCCATTTTAAAACCGTTTGGTGGGGTTATTTTGCGGTGCGGTTAGACGGTTATTTTTGCAGTGCGGTTTTGTTTTTTTTGTGTTTCGGTTATTAACCGCATGGATTTGGTGCGGTTATTTTGTGTGATTTTTAATCGTTATTTAGAGTTCAAAGGGTTTTAAGAGTTCAAAGATATTACTTGTAATAATAAAAAAAGAATAAGGTATAAGACAATTAACTTAAATCACAAACAACTAATATCTTAAAAACGTGAAGTCACTAGTAATTAACAATAAATATCTTAAAATTGTGACATTTCATCATTTTTCAGTGTTAAACATAACAAAAAACCAACACTTTAATCTTCTAGAATTTTATCATGATTTCATCCATGAAATTTGTCTTATTTTTAATATTTAATATATTAATAATTAATAAAAAATTGTATATCATATATGCGGTGCGGTGCGTTTTTTTTTTTTTTTTGCGGGTTTTGAAAACTAATAACCGCACCGCACCGCAAATTTGCAGTTTTTGAAAAACAGAAAACATCACCATCGATATTTATTGCGGTTGCGGTTTATCGGTTGTGGTTTATGCGGTTAGTTTTAGTTACGGTGCGATTTTTGCTCACTCCTAAGTGGTACAAGTAGTATATGCAGAACATAAACCAATTTGAGACTTGTGATACAAAAGGATAGACACCAATGGAGGTTCACTTGTATGGGAGCAATAATCGTTGTTGCAACTTATCCTGAACCTTTTTAAATAGAGTTTTTTTATTTTTATTTTTATTTTTCTTCTGAAAAGTCTAAATATTTGGCGAGTTTACGAAATAGTCTTAAATTATTATTTTTTTACAAAAAATCCTAAAAATCGTTAAAATGTTGCATTCCGACTCTTTTCTCCTGATTACCTTTGAATCAACATGTAACAATGTAACATCCGAATCCCGAGGTACTTCACATTTTTAATTTTGGCATTTTAGGGTTTGCCACGACGTGGTGGGGGAACCACGGCATGACAAATCAAGATAAAATCATGTATTCATTTAAGCCACCACAACATGGCAGTATATGGCCACGACGTGGCAACTGGTGTGACAACCCGAAATTTTTTTAAATTTAAAGCCCAGTCAATCAACTCAAATGAGTGTCAAACTCATTAGTACTGAGTTCTAGCCCGGTTAAAGGTCTTTCTAAGGAGTTTTAGCCTAGTACACTTAAGAAATAAGTGTTGGATTTTATCTGCTAAAGGCCACAGTACAAGATTCAAGCCCTAAACTCCATCCTATGGAGTTTACGACCGTAAACATGGAGTTTACGGCCGTAAACTCATGTAGGCCGTAAACTCCTCCATATAAGTTCATTTCCTTCACTTTTCTTCATTCTTTCACTTTCACTTCAAGAACACATGAGTTTTCTCTCAAGTATCATCCCGATCTTCATGCTTGATCTTCAAAAATCGTAAGTGTTCTTTCTCTAGTTTGTTGATAATCCTTCTTAACTAGCTTCATCCTCATGATTCATCCATAAAAATCATGTTTTCTTAGATCTTCAAGTTTCACCAAAAACACCAAGAACACACACTAGTGTTCTTGGCCAATATCAACCATTTCAAGCTTCTAGATTGTAAGTACATTTCCCTATACTTCGTATCTAGTTAGTATCCATGCTTAGAGACTTGGAAACATCAAGAACACGAGATCAAAGGGAGTTTACGGCCGTAAACTCCCAAGACCGTAAACCCCTTTTTGGTGGCCATTAGGGCCATAAACCCTATAGGATGCAAGGCAAGTGACCCAGAACCCTTCCTTGATGTTTGAAGGACCTTAAACTTCACTCAAGTTCACAATGACCATGAGTTTACGGCCGTAAACCCCTTTGGGCCGTAAACTCATCAAAAGCCTCATTTGAGGTGGTCTTCCTCATACAAGTATAAAGCAAAAGTCCTTAAAGCATCCATAACTTTCAAACCAACACTTAGCCATGTTTGACCATGAGTTTACGGCCGTAAACTCATGAGGAATGGTCCATGGGCCGTAAACTCTAAAAAGTGGTGCAATGGTGCCACAATTACTTCCTAAGGCTTGGACTTGATCATAGTATGCTTAACCTTGACTTGTTAGACCTTAAAACACCAAATGGTAGAAGTTACCATGGGTTTACGGCCGTAAACCCATTAGGACCATAAACCCTAAACCGTAAACACATGTTAGTGCCATTTCACTTTCCTTTGATGAATCACATGTGATTCCAACACTTGGTCAAGGTGTTTCCTAGTCCCGGAAGGTGTTTCCTTTCATATAGTCGTTTATAAACACTATATTCATGTCAATATGTGTCCTTATATGTCATTTAGGACTTATTGAGTCTCGGGACTTCATTCGTGGAACTTCTCATCCTTACACGCATACCCGTTTGAATCACCCACATCAGGTGAGTTCATACCCCGTAATGAATCTTTTAACTGTTTTAACTGTTTTAAGGGGGAATACAAGTTGAACACAATGATAATTGTGTAAATGTTTGTTATAAACATCTTTCAAAATGTTACTTATGTCATTTATAAGTCATCAAAACATTTCAAAACTCTTTTAAAGTTATGTTACTTTCTAGTTATACAAAACTTTGTTTTTAAAGTACAAACATAACTTAGTAGATAAACGAGTCTTTCCAGTAACAGTCCAAGTAGAACATTAGTAAGCTATAATAGGTATAGTTAGGAGAATGCTATTCATTACTTCTAGTACAATGAAGCACACAAAGAGTCAATACCATACAGAACAGATAGTGAAGAGAATCAAACAATACCATACAGAGAGAACACAAAATTACTAGAAACAAATAGAACGTACAAGATACAGTACAAAACAAGTTAGGTTGCTATAGCATGAGAACACACATACATGATCTAATTATACCAATGAATCACTAACTCATTGTTTTAAACAAAAGGTGATAGTTATATTGGGTATACATGATCATATACTTTAATGTGAATTACATGGCTTGCAAGAATTTGCAGAGGTCGTGTTTAGTTCCCCTAATCTCCTGACAGGGAGAGCGTATAGTAAGGGTTCTAGCCTTCACATTATAACCATAATAAAACAAATATGTTTTTAGGTTATTAGTACATCCGCATGTCATTATAAACGACAACTGTGTACTTACACTTCCCTTTCTTTCATAAAGTGACGGTACCACTTGAAAGTCCAACCCAAACTATTTTCGAGTCAAGATAGTTATAAACTAGGGAAAATATACATTCTTACAAACGACAAACGGAACAGTCGAGTCTAGCACATAACAGAAGATGCCTTGGTAGAAGGATACGAGTAAAAGATAGGACCATAATGCTAGTCTTATGATTCCTTAATGTATACATAACAGGATATATATATATACCAATAGGGTCCGACAGGTAATAGGATGTGTGCTCTCTGCTTCATTTCCTGTTCCTTGTTTGGTTGTGGGCTTGGAACGAATTCACCCAATCTATTTTCTACCCGATTCTATATATATGTATGCTTAGTATACATTGAGTCATCATAAGGGTACCAGGTATGGGTCAGGTTATAGGACACAGAGTCAAAGCACAGTTTTTCTAGTACAAAACATATTTTTAGTACTTTTGGTATACAAAACTAGAAACTTCCCGGTAAAGGGTTTAATCCATTTTATTAAACCAGTACAATTTAAAAGACCTTAGGTGAGTAACTCTATAATACCTTAGTTTATACACCATGTTTATGTATAAAACTAATACCCAATAGGTAGTTGGATGTGTGTTTTCCGCCTTAATTTCTGTTCCTCGTTTGGTTGTGGAATTAGGGCAGATTCGCTCAATTAACTTTCTATCCGATATTAGATTATATATAGCAGTATAAACTAAGCTATTATAAAAGTAGTCACTATGGTTACTATTTTATTATAAGAAATAAGGGTTTTCTTAAAGAACTTCTTCATTAGATATAAAGGAAACATTACAATTAACTCCATGAGTAACAAGTGATTACACCAGGGTTATATATGACGATGATCTAACAACCAATGGAATGTGTGCTATCCGCCTTAATTCCTGTTCCTTGTTTGGTTGTGAGCTTAGGGCAGATGCGCACAATTGATTGTTTGTTTACTCTGAGTCTTATATAACTTGTACCCACTTAGTACCCATAGAATGGGTTGTAGTGTCATTTTTACTTAAACTTCCATCAAAGTAGGAAATATATGATTTTCTAGAGGAACAGGTGAACTTTACAAAACAGGACTTACAACTACATGTTATAACTACATTTTCAACACCATTTTACATCTACATTTTTAACAACACTTTACAACTTACTTACATCACTAAACTCTTATGAACTCACCAGCTTAATTGTTGATCAACTCTTTCAAATAACTTGTATTCTCAGGAGACTATTAGACAGGTGCTCGTGCTGGGAATTCAGAAGATGGAGCATTATAGCTTCAAGTCTTGTTTTGTTATTTGTTT